AGATATTCGTAAATTTAGAACCCCCCCAGAAAAAAATAAGACTAACGACCGAAAGGCTAAGCCGCGCGCTACCTCCAAGACCGCAAGTGACGTCGATATTTTATTGATATATATATATATATATATTTTTTTTTATTTATATTTATATTTATATTTATGAAAAAGTTATGTCGCGCACAATCGCCACCAAGACCGCAAGTAATACCGATATTTTATCGAAATATAGAAGTTAATATATATATATATATATATATATTTATTTATTTATATGTATTTATAGAAAGATATATATATATATATACATATTTTTATGCATATAGATTAATGTATATATATATATATATATATACATATATATATAATGAATTCCGACATATCGTATATATTTCGTATTATTTCAAATTAAAATTACCATATATTATAATTATATATTGTTATGTTTATATTTTATATATCTCTCTATCTATATCATCATATACCGTTATATATATATAATGGATTTACAACTTTTTATGTTATTTAGATATATTCCTATATCAATATATTTGTATATATGTAAGTAAAAGTGATATCCTTCCCAAAAACCATGAATACTCTCTGTGCTTAATCTGTATTTATATCATAAACTTTATTCTCAAAATAGAATCATTCCATCATCTACTAATATTTTTCTAAGCTCGATGATAGTCTAATATGACTGGAAGAATTCAAACGAATCATATTTTCTAAACCTATATATATATATATTAGACAGAAGGTGAAAGATGGGCCTGATAATTCTAAATCAATCATGACGAATAGTCAGGAATCTTGAATTGTCAGCTCTGCAACCAGGTTTTGCAGCAGATTGTTTCCGCAAATATCAGTTCGCAGCGGTTCAATAAGATATTCAACGCTTCTTGGAACAGCCGTCGACTACATACGGTTCTCCGTCGTTGGAGCAGGGAGATACACTCGCTGTTCCCACATAGCCCTCAGCGCACTCGGCACTTACATCGAAGTTGCTCGTTGACAGGGAGGTTTCTGTGATCTTGTAGGCTGTAGCATCTTGAACTGCGACACATGTCATAGGCTTCGCACAGCCGGATAAAGTGTATGCATCTGCATTCGCAGAGCAAACTGTCACCGCGGCTGATCCCACATATCCCTTGGCACATTCTGCCGTCACGTCGAACTTGCTGGCTGCAAGATGGGCTTCTGTGACTGAATAGCCCGTAGCATCCGCAGGAGCAGTGCACATCTTTTCCTTCTCGCAGCCAGACAGAGTGTATGGACTTCCATCTGAAGAGCAAGCTGCCACCGCGGCTGTGCCAAAATATCCATCTGCACATTCTGCTGTCACATCGAATTTGCTCTCTGAGAGAGCGTTTTCGGTGACGATGTAGCCTGTCGCATCTGCAGGAGCACTGCAGAGCTTGTCCTTCTCGCAGCCGGACAGCACGTATGGCTCTGCATCAGCAGAGCATGCTGCCACGACGCCATTTCCGACATAGCCGGATGAACATTCTACGGTCACATCAAATTTGCTTTCGGAAAGCGCCGTTTCTGTGACATCGTAGCCTGTCGCATCTGCAGGAGCGGTGCACATCTTCTCCTTCTCACACCCGGACAAAGTGTATGCTTCTCCATCCGAGGAGCATGCCGTCACGAGAGCAGTGCCTACATAGCCGGACGCGCACTGCACAGTCACATCAAACTTGCTTGCCTGCAGAACGGCTTCCGTTAAAGCATAACCGGTAGCATCGGCCGGAGCAGAGCAGATGTTGTCCCTGTCACATCCCGACAATGCGTACGCCTCTGCATCCGCAGTGCAGGCTGTAACAACGGCAGTTCCGACATAGCCATTTGCACATTCTGCCGTCACGTCGAACTTGCTTCCTGCAAGATGTGCTTCCGTAACTTTATAGCCTGTCGCATCCGCAGGAGCAGTGCACATCTTGTCTTTCTCGCATCCAGACAAGCTGTATGCTGCTCCATCCTCAGCACATGCATCAACGACTGCAGTGCCCAAATAACCAGCAGCACAGGCTGCTGACACATCAAAGTCACTCTGGGTAAGCACAGTTTCTGTGACATCGTAGCCTGTTGCATCTGCAGGAGCACTGCAGGTCTTGATCTTCTCACAACCGGACAAGGTGTACGCTTCTCCGTCCGCGGAGCATGCAGTCACAGTGGCTGTGCCCGCGTAGCCCACGGCACATTGCACTGTCACATCAAACTTGCTTGCCTGCAGAACGGCTTCCGTTAAAGCATAACCGGTAGCATCGGCCGGAGCAGAGCAGATATTGTCCCTGTCACATCCCGACAATGTGTACGCCTCTGCATCCGCAGTGCAGGCTGTAACAACGGCAGTTCCGACATAGCCATTTGCGCATTCTGCCGTAACGTCAAACTTGCTTCCTGCAAGATGTGCTTCCGTAACCTTATAGCCTGTCGCATCCGCAGGAGCAGTGCACATCTTGTCTTTCTCGCATCCAGACAAGCTGTATGCTGCTCCATCCTCAGCACATGCATCAACGACTGCAGTGCCCAAATAACCAGCAGCACAGGCTGCTGCCACCTCAAACTTGCTTCCTGAAAGAACGGTCTCTGTGACATCGTAGCCTGCTGCGTCCGCAGGCGCACTGCATATCTTGTCCTTCTCGCAGCCTGATAGCACGTACTCTTCGGCATCTGAGGAGCATGCTGCTACGGCTGCAGTGCCCACATAACCAGCAGCACATTCTGCTTTCACATCGAAACTTTCCGCTTTGAGATCAATCTCCGAGACAGCATAGCCTGTCGAGTCAGACGGAGCAATGCATACCACTGTCTTCTCACAGCCGGAGAGTGTGAAGCGATCACCATCTGATGTGCACGGCTCTGCTGATGCTTTTCCCTCAAACCCGACCGCACACTCTACTTGCACATCGAACTTGCTAAGACTGAGATGTGTCTCCGTGACCACGTAGCCTGTTGCATCCTCCGGAGCCAAGCACACTGGGTCCAACTTACACCCAGTGATCTCGTAGCTTTCTCCGTCGTTCGTGCAAGAGGTCACCTTTGCCTGTCCGACATAGCCCTTTGCACAGGCAGCACTGACGTCAAAGGAGCTTTTGTGAAGGTCGGACTCGGTCACACTGTATGCTTCGAGACCCGCGGGAGCAACACAAACGGGATCCAAATCACAGCCGGACAGCGAGTAGGTGTCCCCGTCAGAAGTACAGGCTTGTACTGCGGCAGTCCCTGTGTAGCCTGCCGCGCACGTGACCTTCACGTCGAAAGTGCTGATTCGCAAGCTTGTCTCTTCGATTGTGTAGCCATTGGTTGATGCCTTATGGGCGGCTCACATTCAAAAAGCAGCACACCGGGCTTACCAAATTCCGCCCCTGATTGCCAAGCAACCGGTGCGACGCAGTGGCGGAAGGGCTGGCAGCCACTGAGGGTGTACGTGTCGTCCGTCTTGGAGCATGCTTCGACCTCAGGACCAGAACCAGTCCGACGATTCAAAACTGGGAAAACTCGACAGGGCAGCAGTGCCTTGGCTGACCCAGTAAAGCCGGCTGCGCACTTCGCTGTCACATCGAAGGACTGCACAACAAGACTCCTCTCGTCGACATCGTAACCTGCTTCTTGGAACACGAATCTGGGGACAAGGTGCAAAAGAGCGAAATGACCATGGACAAATGCATTTGCATCTGCAGCAGCACGTAACAGATGAGTTCCACGTAAACAGGGCTCCTTGTCTCTTCTCGCGAAACATTTCCAATTTGGGAAATAGGGTCCACCGTTTTTTGAAACTCTCCTGTAGGTCGCGCATTGCTTCGAGCTGTTAGGCGGCGCTTTTGATGTCAGAACCGTCTGACTCTCTGCCCCAGCCACCCTTGGTCGCCTCACACGTCGATCGGAGTTTCCCTATGTCGAAGCCGCATGGATTCGCGCCGATTCCTGGGGATGCTTCGGCTTGGTGCCCTTGCTTTATGAAGATGTGCAAGTGCAGATTGCTCGACCCTTTTTTCTGCTCCGGGCTCGGCAGAGTTCTGGGTTACCTTCGCCCTGCACCAAAACCTGGTCTTGCGTGCCCTTTTCCTGTTTCGGTGCCTCGAATGGAAGATAGGGACAAGGTTCATGCGTTGGAGGTCATTGCGCTTCTGACTGCGATCATGGCGTGCTATGTCCTTCTCCCTGCAGTGGTGTGTTCCGAGTAAAACTCGTGGCTCTAAGTGTCTCCACTCCGTCCGGTCTACACTTGCCCAACTTGGTCCATCTTGTCAAGTTCATGTTCCTGTCACCGGGGCCCTGGGCCCTTCCGAAGGGCTTGACTTGTAATTGACTTCCGCTCACATTCGGAAGCTATGGCGCGGCTGCAGCAGCCCGGCCTTGCTTGGTCGAGGCTCGGCAGAAGACCTTCTTCTCACAACCACTCAGCTTGTAGACAGTGTCTGCTTTTGTGCAGGCAACGACAGAGGCGGTGCCGATGTACCTCGGATGTCGGGGCACGTTCACCTTGCCCAAGTCTCCCTTCGTCGGAAGAACCAGATCGCACTGTCGCAAGAAAAGTTCAATTTCGAGATGTGAGTTCTGCGAGAGCTCTATCAACGCCGGACAACTGCTACTATATGAAAGCTACACAACTTGCATTAGGCATTGGCAATCTTGAGACCCGGCTGGCCCTTCGAAAGGATCTGCTGCAGAGAAATCTGAAAGGTCGCATCCGTAAAACTCGACAGCCGAGCGCATTAGGCAGCACTCGCAATCGAATTCACCAGCTGGACTATGGCATAGCCGCACTAGACGCAACATACGCCGCCCGGGCACTCGTCCGAACAGGCAACTGTGACCTTGAACTCTTCCTGTTGCAACTGATGTTCAGTGACCAGATAGCCTGCCAAGTCGCAAGGAAACGCAAATCATGTGTCTGAAGTCGAACAGTCAAAGCCCCGACCTGTGGTGTCAGGCGGTGCTGTACACACCAACACCGTTGTGGTCGTCGTAGTGGAAGTCGTGGTCATGGTTGTAGTGGTCGTGAATGTTGACGTGCTCGTAGTTGTAGTAGTGGTCGACGTGGTGGTTGTGGTGGTCGTCGTGACCGTGGATGTCGTGGTGGTGGTGATTGTAGTCGTCGTCGTAGCGGTCGTTGTGGATGTAGTGGTTGTCGTGGTAGATGTCGAAGTAGTGGTGGTCGTAGTTGATGTGCTTGTTGTGGTGGTTGTGGTTGTTGTTTTGGTAGTTGTTGATGTGGTTGTGGAAGTGGTAGTGGTTGTCGTGATTGTGGATGTGATTGTGGATGTAGTGGTAGTTGTACTGGTGATGGTTGTTGTTGTTGTGGTACTTGTGGTGGTTGATGTGGTTGTAGTGCTCGTCGTGGTCACTGTTGTGGTAGATGTTGACGTGGTCGTGGTTGTAGTGCTTGTTTTCGTGATGGTCGTTGTAGACGTAGTGGTGCTCGTGGTTGTAGTTGATGTGCTGGTCACGGTTGTTGTGCTGGTGGTGGTAGTCGTGCTCGTTGTTGTGGTCGTTGTGCTTGTGCTCGTGGTGGTAGTTGTGGTGGTGGTGCTAGTAGTCGTGGTGGTGCTTGTAGTGGTGATAGTGGTGGTGCTCGTTGTTGTTAGGGTCGTGGTGCTGGTCGTCGTTGTGGTTTGCGTGACTGTCGTTGTCGTCGTGGATGTCGTGGTCGTAGTTACAGTTGTCGTGGTCGTGGAAGTCGTCGTTTCGGTCGTTGTCGATGTCGTTGTAAGAGTGGTTGTTGTGGTTGATGTCGTGGTGGCGGTTGATGTGGTGGTCGTAGTGGTGACTGTCGTGGTAGTCGTCGATGTGACTGTTGTGGTGGTGGTGCTTGTGCTCGTCGTGGTTGTAGTAGCTGTCGAGGTTGAGGTAGTGGTAGTGGTCACGGTTGTGGTAGAGGTAGTTGTCGAGGTTGTCGTTGTTGTTGTAGTGGTACTTGTACTTGTGGTCGTAGTGGTTGTTGTGATTGTGGAAGTTGACGTAGTTGTGGTCGTTGTGGACGTACTTGTGATGGTAGTCGTGCTGGTAGTTGTTGTGGTTGTCGTCGAAGTTGATGTCAATGTCGACGTAGTCGTGATGGTTGATGTTGTCGTGGTGGTTGTCGTCGAAGTACTAGTTGTTGTCGTGGTGATGGTCGTAGTCGAGGTTGTCGTGGTCGTCGTTGTGGTTGTACTGGTCGTTGTCTTGGTCGTGGTCGTTGTGAAGGTCTGAGCGGTGACTCTTCGAAGCGGAATCTTCTCTCACTCAGACTGAGGCGAGCTAAAGAGCTGCAAAAACCTTACCCAACCACCCACTCTCAGTCACTCCCTCCTCGCTGGCTCGGTCACTCACTCACTGCTCTCTCACGCACCTCCACATGCCGCACGCCTGCATGCCCGCCAGCCGGCCCACACGCACGCACCCGCGGACACGTACAGACACAAACACACACACACACACACACACACACACGGACAGACACAAACACACACACACACACACACACACACACTTATCTACTTTCTTGCTTTTTATTTACACGCACGCACGCACATTCAGACCCGCCCTGGAGTTTCAACACTTGCACGACGAACCATGTGAAGACATGTGTCTGCATGTACAGCCTTGAAAGCAGGCATGCCTGCCGGTTCGTTGTATGTCCGTGTGTCTATGCGTATGCTTGCGTGTGCTTGTGCGTGTGCCTAAGTTGCCTGAAGATTTCGCTACAAAACCACGCACGCGCGCTTCGTGTACAAGGACGTTACTGACCACTTCGTGATTTTCCTTCCGAAGCAGGTCTGCAAACTGTCTTTCCTTGCACCTGCGCCTGCCCCTGACCATCGTTACAGTATGGGCGTAATGCAACCATGGTGCCGTAGTGGTGGTTGATGTCGTTGTCGAGGTCGTGGTTGTTGTACTGGTTGAGGTTGTAGTGCCACAGCCCCCCAGAGTGTACTCGTGGCCGTTAGCAGAACACACCTCTGCAATAGCCGTGCCATGGTAGCCTGCCGGGGTGAAGACGAATCAGGAAAAGAACTTCACTGGGCATGCTGTTATTCTCCCAGCTATGAACTCTCGAAAACGAACATGAACATCACACCGGACTGCCAAGCAACCGTTGTCATTGTCGCACAGAACATTCGCTGCGAAGAAGGGCCGCTTCAAGTCCACAGATTTGACCACATAGCCGGTGAGGGTGCTAGGTGCAACACACACCTCCGGTTCGCAGCCGGACCTTGCACGACAACATCCCAAAGGCAACCGGTCTGGCTGCGACTGGTGGGACTCAGATCTGATCTAAGCCAGCGGCAGCGCGTAAGGGTCGCCATGGGACTGGCAGCCCGTCACCTTTGCCGAACCTGGCCGAAAACGCGACTTTCCCAAAGATAGCCCTTCCGGCCGCAAGGCGAACCCAAACCCTACTCCAAAAACATTGGCGGACTCGAAGTCGGCACTGGGCACCTTTGTATTTAGCAGCGCACTGGGCCAAGACGTTAAGCTGCGTCCGCGCCATGCTGAGTTCTGTCACCTGATCATTTCTCGGGCTCAAGGGCTCTGAGAGCCTAAGACGCAACATTCAGGAGTGAGGGAAGCCGGAGAGATCGGAAAGCTGTGGGGCCCTTAGAGTTCGGTTGGTTTCGAAGTTGATGAGAAGTGCAAGTCAACTTATCCATCCAGGCTGCATGATAGCCGCTGATGTCCTTTGGCCTCATGCATTCCTCAATCTCCCAGCACAGCTTTCAGACGCTTGGCCGGCCACTGCCTGAACGCAAGCCGCTGAGGTCTCGGCGCCAGCATAAATGTCCTGACGACTTCGGCTAGTCGAGTGGGTGAGAAGCAGTGCTTCTACTCCGGATACTAGTTCAGGCACGGTCATGCGGCGCGAATCATGTCTGCTGGCCCGAAATGACAAGGCTGCCGCATCTTAGATTTTAATCTTACGTCCTCCACACTACACTCCCTTCGTGCGAATCGAATGCGAGGCACGAGCATACCGCACGACTGCAGCTGCAGGCGCATCGGGTCTGGTCGGCGGAGCGAACACTACCCATGTTGAGGTGTCTGTTGAGAACCGTTTGTCTCTGTGTGTGTATGTATATATGATGTATATATATATATATATACGTATGTATGTATGTATATATGTATATATGTATATATGTATATATGTATATATGTATATATGTATATATGTATATATGTATATATGTATATATGTACGTATATATGTTTGTATGTATATATGTATATATGTGTATATGTGTGTATGTATGTATGTATATATGTAAATATGTATATATGTATATATGTATATATGTATATATGTATATATGTATATATGTATCCCACGTCGTTCAGGACGCGAGCCTCCCGCCTACTCTTTCTCGTGCCCCAGACACGGCTGGCCAACAGGTGGCTGCTGGCTGCGAGGAGCCCCAGCCACCACCACTGCCACCTCAGCCCTCGGATTTGCCTGACTGCATGGAATCGGAGGCACCACTCGTGGCCGATCTCGAATTCCGCTTGGGGCTTAGACAGGAAGGATGGCAGGCACTACTACAAGAGGGAAGCATTCGCCGAAGGATCAGACACCACTGCCCGCTATGTCATCAGTGGGCCGCCACGCCCTCGGGTCTTAAGGTTCATCTGCAGTCGCACGATGAGTGGGTTCAGCTTTATTCGCGCACTCTTGATCAGGCTCGAGTTTTGCGCAAGGCCATGACTAAACCCTGCTTGTACTGTAAGGAAACCACGTTTGATTTGCAGCAACATTGGCGAAGATGTTATGTCATACTCATCCTGAGTTTTCTGTCTGTGCATCTGAACCGCTTGGACTCTGCGCTGCCTACCGGTGACCGCTCTGTCACTGCGGTCCCTGCCGCTCCGCCTCCTCCTTCATCGGCTCCTCATGACCATGGACACCGTAGTGCAGGATCCCAAGGAGCTTCAGGTGTTTGCGGCATTTCTGACCAACGAGAACGGCCAGACACCAACCCCCCCCTCCGGGAAGTTGGGAGCTCAGCCCAAGAGACGACGCGAGAGCGAGAACCCGCCGGAGGGCACAGGCCTGAGCTCCGCGGCGTCCACCCCGTCGGCCCCGGGGATATACCTGACAATGCCCCAAGGACCAGGGAATCCCCCGAAAGGCAAGGGCAAAAACCGGGGAAAGGGCAAAGGCGGCAAAGGAAAGGGGCAGCCTCAGCCCCGCCACCAGCAGGGCGATTGGAGCAGTTCTTCGTCAGAGTGGAGCCAGGGATGGAACCAGGGATGGGGGTCGAGCGGCGGTCGATATCCAGGAGATCTGGTGCTGCAAATCTCCAAGCTGGTCCTGAGGCACGAGCTTCAACTGCAGAATCTCCAGAGCGACACCAAGCTTCATCTCTACCTGCGAACGGGAGCTCAGTCCTTCCTGCCCTCACTCTTCGCCATTGCCCGCGAATGGGGCAAGTTGTATCGGGAAGAGCCTGCCAAGCTGGGGATGTCGTTGAGGGAGACTCTACTTGTGGCACTTCTCCGCGAGATGGCCACCCGGGCCAAGTTGGCCATGAACCGTCCCGACTCGAAGCAGGGCGCCCTGGATCTCAAGTGGATCAATTCGAGCAGCCAGTGGAGCTACATGCAGTGGAACCCGCACACGGCTCAGCTCGATCTCCTGGCGGAACCATCGCCCAGGGATCACTCGGAGATTCTCCAGGACATCGAACGGATGATCGAGTTAGTGGACGGCGATACGGTGAAGCTGGTTCGCATCGGCCAAGACGCTGGTGGCGGAGCCCCAGTCGGAATGGGTGGAGTTCATCTTGGAGGTGGGTCTGCGCGAGAAGGGCCATCAGCTCTGGGAGCTCATCCTACGCTTCAACCAGTGCTGTGTTCTTCATCCCCTCGGAGCCCGCATCCGACGGGACCGTCCAGGCCTGTCCGGCCTTGCGGAGACCATACGCAACATGTCCCAATAATCCACCTTCTCGGGGCCTGTTCCTCCCGTTCGATTGGTGCTGATGGCGACGCTACAGACGGTGTGAGGCTCAGTGCGGCAGTGGCCTCCGGGCCTACCCCTCCTCCTGCCCTGCCTCTTCGTTGCACGCGCCTTCTTCAGGTTAGCTTGCACAACTTTGATGCCACAGCCTGTTATATGAATGCCTCGCTCCTTGCCTTGTTGTGGTCCATTCTTCATACCAGCACGCCTCAACTGGGCGGACTTGAGCCCATCCTTTCAGTCCTTGAGGCGCGTCCTGAGCTGCTTTTGTTGCGATGCATGGTCTGGACCATGCTTCTGGGGCCATGGTCCCAGCCACGACGCCAGCATGACATGCATGAGTTCCTTGTGCACCTCCTGCCCAGGTTAAGACTTCCTGCTGTTCAGGGGTATTGGCAACTACGCAGGCTGGAAGAAGATGTAGGGGCCATTGTGTGTGATACGTCCACCACGGCCACTCCCATTACCATGGACCTCCCTGAGGGAGCCAGGGGACTACAGCACTGCATACAGGCCTGGCACTCTAGTCACTACCGCTCAGCGATTACCGGTGATCCTCCGGAACTCATCTGCCTGCATCTTTCACGCTTTAGGCAGACTGATGGGGGTCACATCGTCAAGGATGTACAAGCCTTACCAGACATCCGTGAGGTCATACGCATTCCTGTCTTTCACTCGCCTGAAGACATAAGCGTGCGATGGTGCCCATATCAGGTCTGTGCTGCTTCGGTGCACTTCGGACCGACTGTTGAGCGGGGGCACTACAGAGCACTGCTTTGCAGCGGAGAGAAAATCTGGATCACTGGAGATAACCGTGCAGCCCAGTCTCTCTCCCGCACGGAGCTCGCTTCGCTCACGCCTCACGTATACCTGGTCTGGTGCGTGCACGACCCAGGCCTGCCTCTGGCCGCACGATTGGGATCGTGACCATGTGCTACTGATGTTTCCTGCGTGCTCGCAGTCGCTAGCGACCGAGCATGCTTGTAGGGGGGGGCACAATCGTGCGCGCTCACTGAAGCGCCGGGGCCATCTGTGCCTTGCCCTGTAGCTAGGCGAGTATGGACATCTCGCTGCGTCTGGAAGAAGATGTATATATGTATATATGTATATATGTATATATGTATATATGTATATATGTATATATGTATATATGTATACATGTACATATATATACATATGTGAATGTACATATGTATATATGAAGGTATGTATGTATATATGAATGTATGTATATATGTATATATGTATATATGTATATATGTATATATGTATATATGTATATATGTATATATGTATATATGTATATATGTAATATATGTATATATGTATATATGTATATATGTATATATGTATATATGTATATATGTATATATGTATATATGTATATATGTATATATGTATATATGTATATGTGTATATATGTATATATGTATATATGTATATATGTATATATGTATATATGTATATATGTATATATGTAAATACGTATATAAGTATATATGTGTATATGCATATATGTGTATATGTATATTTGTATATTCGTATATATGTATATATGTATATATGTTTATATGTATATATGTAAATACGTATATAAGTATATATGTGTATATGCATATATGTGTATATGTATATTTGTATATATGTATATATGTATATATGTATATATGTATATATGTATATAGGTATATATGTGTATATGTATATATGTATGTATGTATATATGTATATATGCTCCCACCCCCCCCCACCCCAGATCTACGCCATCGTGGTTCTTGGGGCATAGGGCGCACGAAACACTGCAATGCTCAAAAAGTTCAAACGTTTCCAACCCCGATTCACGAAACACTGTAATGCTCAAAAAATTCACAAAGCTCCAAAATTCTGACATCTACGGCCAGGCCATGAATTTTTTAGCATCATACAGTCTTCCATGAGCCTTGAGGCAGTGAAAAATTGATTTTTTGAGCATGACAGTGCTTTGTGAGGTTCAGGCCACGAAACACTGCTATGCTCAAGTTTTGCGAGCTTTGAGGCAGTGCAAAATTGATTTTTTGGAGCATTACAATGTTTTTGTGACTTTCAAGCCACGAAACACTGCTATGCTCAAGTTCTGTGAACTTTGATGCTGTGAAAAGTTGGTTTTTTTTAGCATTACGGTGTTGTGTGAGGTCCAGGCCACGAAACACTGTTATGTTCAAAAATTCCAAAATTTCCAATCTGAAAAATCACGAAAGCCTGTAATGCTCAACGAATCCAAAAAATTCGGCCATCTATGGCCAGGCCGGTGGCAAATTCTTTAAAATTCAGGACCTTTTTGAGCATTATAGTGTCTCGTGGGCTTTGGATGATTTTTTTGAGCATTACAGTGTATTGTGAGGTTCAGGCCACGAAGCACTGCTATGCTCAAGTTTTGTGAGCTTTGAAGCTGTGAAAAATTGGTTTTCTTGAGCATTACAGTGTTTTGTGATGTTCAGGCCATGAAACACCGTAATGCTCAAAAAAACAACCTTTCCAAGCCCTGAAACACATGACACGCTGTAATGCTCAAAAAGTTCCAAAATTTTATGGAATCTGCCCTAGCCATAGTTGCCAGAGGTTTGGAATGTTTGGAGTTTTTTCAGCATTACAGTGTTTCGTGAATTTCAAGATTGCAATTATTGAAATTTTTTGAGCATTACAGTGTTTCGTGATGTCCAGGACGGGGATGCTGATTCACAAGAGAACAGTGAGCTTTCGATCGATTTCAAAGACTAGTGCTGCGATTTTGTGTGTTTTCCGGAAAAACAAAGGTTCTCACTACTCTTGCTTGATAAGTATGAACAAGGCCCACATTCGTCGCGACATATTTTATTTCACGTAGTATGTTTTAGGAGGCTGGTAGATCTATGGCACCAGCAGCACTGGCTCTCGTACTTGAGTTGTCTGGAAAATGGTTTTGGCCGATCTTGGAAAGCTGCACAGTCAACAGACCCAACACTGTACTAGTGAATGCCGCTAGCCTATCTAGCATTTATTTCATTTCATATTGAAGACTGTAAGAAGCTGTCTGCATTTTGCTACCATCAGAAACAATGGAGACGTCCGCCTTGGTTTGAAACCAGAGTTTTCATTCGCGTAACTCTTACTGATGCTGTCCCACACCCCGGACCGATCGATCGCTATCCATGGCTGTTTCTCCCTTTAGCTGTCATAGAAATTAACGCAAAAACGTAGCTCTCTTCAATCTTCAAGCGACACTCCCTCCAGGTGATCAACAGACAAAATGACTTGTTTATTGGCATCTTTTCTTAAGCGGGCAAGAGGCGTGAGACTTCTGTCGGATTTTTATTGAAGCCACCTGCCTCATATCCTGACAAAGCGGTATACTGGTCCTTCTGCTTATGACAACAGTTTAGACGCTGTCATAGTTCGTATCACAAGATGAAAAAGAGCTCTCTTCAGTCTTCAAAGAATAGACGTCCCATCTTTTTCTGGAACAGAAGGAGTGTTATTTCTCTTCCGTGATAGGTATGAGGATGGCCCAAGTCAGTCTTCGTTTACTTCGTCTTGTGTCCTCAAAACTAGATAGCGACTGCTATGCACATGGCTGCTTTTGATATCTGTATGTATATATATATATATATATATATATATATATATATCTGTCATAGGTCGTGTCGCAATATATAGAGAAGATGACTTCCATGAAGTGCCATCTTACTTTGTTTTCCAAGGATGAAGAGCCCCTGCCTTCTGATTGATACGTATCAACACAACCAGTGGTAATTAGTCCTGCTTCATGATTGGAAGATTGCAAGAGCTCTCTTACTTCTTGCTGCCGAGGAGCCTTCTTGCGCGCCCCCATATGCAAATGAAATTATCAACTCCCCCCACAGGAGCTTTCCCATTTCTTATGAGGCACAGAACAGCTACTGGAGTAGGGCGTTTCAAATGAAAGCGCTCGTATTTTCGACTTCCTTCATGTATAATGGAAAAGAGATTAAAGGGGCTTTTTGTGTCTGCTCACTCGTGAATCAAATGCTAGAACTATTAAGCATTATCAGGCCGCATCAGAATCCGAGGCTCCACGAGCAGCGGGAAAGAGATGGCCCACGCACACGGACTTCTTCGTAAGAGAGACTGCAGCATTTTATTGTGAGAGGAACACTGTTGTTAAACACACCATAAAACACTATAAAACGCAAAAACCACTTTTCAGTACTACATGAACAAAAAAGCACACCCTCCAGCATTTCAGCTTCTCCAACATATAAACGACCATAAACCTGCGGCCGAGATTCGGCGCCAGATTTATACACATAACAAACCCGCGACTTGTGGCGGCACGGTTTGCATGCACATGGCGAAAAGCACGAATGTAGAGAAGCAACCTGTGGAATCGTGTGGAAAAGGCGGGTGTAGATCTTGAGGGGGCGGGTGAGCATATTATATATATATATATATATATAGATAGATAGATAGATAGATGTATACCTGTCTATCTGTGTGTGTGTATATGTATACAGAGATGTGCATGCGTATACATATATCATATATATATATATATATAGATAGATAGATAGATATGATGCTTGTTGTATAACAGTCAACGCAAAACCAACGCCGAAACTCGCTGTAGCTTTGCCAGAAACCCCAAGCCTGAAACCCCAAAACCAATATCCCCGACCCTATAATCCCGGAAAGTAGCTCTAAACTCCAAACCCCGAGTCCGAGGCCAAAATCCTAAAGCCAAGCCCAAAATCAAGCCCCGAAACCCAAGACACCATCAAGCCCTGAACCCTTACCCAGCTGTATGCCCTTAACCCGAAACCAAACCGTGAACCTTAAAACAACGCCACGACCCCAGGCCGGGAAGCCTAAACCCTGAAGTAACAAGTGTCATTGGTACGTCTACATCTGATTCGTGCCCTCCCTGATCCGAGCCGAGGCGAGACGCGTGATCTTGTTACGTGATCCGGTTTGTGTCCCTTCGTGCATCCTTCCCAGGGATGTGACTCACAACTTCCCCTCTGCGTGCCTTCGCCGAGGCCGCAAACTCAGCAGCTTGCCGTCCCACTACCACCTTCTTGAAGTCGCCATTCATGTTCACTGCCTGGACCCACGCCGTGGTGTCTGCACTTGAGTGGGCTGTGCAGGTTTCTGGGGATGGGAGTGGGGCTCGAAGGGTCAGTTTGGCAAGCGACAACACGTGGACATTAACGCTTGTGCTTTGGAGGTGAACCTCAGAATCTCTCAGGCTCCGACAACCTTCATCCAGGCTGCGTGATCCTCTGTTCCGATAGTCAAAGTTGTGATCCAATTCGTTACCTGCCGACCCTTCTTCAGCTCGTTATTGGCTCCTGCGGTGGATGCACATCTAGGCAGCGTGGCGAGACCACGCACAGACACTGCAGGAATGACCTGAAAGGTCCAATGCGGAGAGGATCTCCACCACGAAGTCGAGTTGGCCATTGAGCTTCTCCAATGGAAAGTCTACCCTAAGCCACGGCACATCCAGCTAAGCGACTTGTGCAGATGCGCAGGAGTGCACACGCTCTCAGCTACTCGCGGTCCAGCAACCAAGCCTTCAACCCTAATTGTCCAAGAAGCCGAATGTCATAGCCGGACGTTTGGTCCACTTTCCAGCCTTGGCAGAGCTTTCGCTTGAAAGAAGGACAGGGAGGCACAGTTAGGCGTTGAGGGCTTAAAACTGAGAAGAGTGCTAAACATGTCGCCCGGCTTGGGCTGCGGGTTGCACGCTTTCGCCACACTCATCCCCTGCAATGGGCCAGAAGCGATTCTCAGCCACATACTCTGCACAAGGGGGCTGACCCACCCGTAACGATCCATGGCCGGACCTTCACTGGCTCATCGAGCGACGAGCATCTCAAGGGTGTAGTGCAGCTGATGCCTTGGCATCTAACGAGGATGTCTGCCCGGTTTGGGGTCTGTTGTGCTGATTGTGTTATTGTTCTGGGCTCAATACCGGATCGTGAAGAATGCGATAGCCCACAGACCCAATCATCTCCGTGACAAACTCGCACAGTATCAGTAACATCTCGTGACAGTAAGCGGGGAAGTGTTGGAGAATCGTTCGGATGCTAGAAACCCTTCCGTCCGCACGCTTGGTCGGTTCTGTCGGAAATACCACTTGGCAGAGCTATCCTACCCTCTCCTGGACAAGAGAGAAAACCCGAAAAGCAGTTGCAGAAACCTGCACTTCCCACATGCGGAAAGTGGAGTCGATCCCCTTTCCACCGTGCCCCGAGGCTCAGGCAGACCCCTCGAGCCGTCATCAACCGGATGCCACCGATTTCGCCAACATCGGTGCTAGAATTGACGAAGGATTCCTTGGACAAGCTGAAGTGTTGAAGTGTGATGCAAGGCGAGACGGTCACCCCCACCCGAGCATCAACGCCGTGATGCAACTTAACGAATGGCGGCGAGCTGCGGCCTTCAGCTGCAGCGTCAGGTTGCCCAGGGGCAGCCTGGAGCCCGAGGTGGCAAAGGCCATCTGCCGAAGGTTCGTCGTCCATAGCCTTGCAAGAGAAGCAGAGAAAGGGGCGAAGAGAAACACTCCAGGATAGCTCTCGACTCTCGCTGCCATGCCGGGGGGCTTGTTGCCCAAGGCCACCCCCAGGTGCAAGAAGCCAAGGATAGCTACATTCAGAGTCCACATCCCGGGAAGTGGCCTGGACGAAAAGACTCTGCCTCGACCTGCCTCTGCTTTCGGAGATCTACTGTGGCTTCCATGATCAAGGATTCAATCGACTCGTCTCTCAACAATGGCGATGGCCGGTCGCAACCAGGATGGAAGGCGGAGCAGGGCAGTCAACATCCCTGCAATGTGCACCAACCAGACACCTGCACAGGAGGCCTCAGCGTCTCATCAGGCTCGGCACATCGATTTCTCCGTTCCCAGACGAAGCTCGAGCCAAGCTGTTGGAAGTCTCAAGTTTCGAGCTTTGCCTGCAGAGGTGAGCTCACACAGTGAACTATCCTCAACCCTGAACACCTGCAAAACCTGACAGGACAGGAGCAACGGCTTTTTCATGGCGCGGTATCACTTCGCCAGGCAACCTTCTTCTTGTTCTCCTGCAGCATTCACATGAGAATGAACTAGACATTCAGCATCATTCAGCATTTGGCATGTGGAATCCTTTGGAGCTTCACTGAGCTTGACTAGTCTGGAGTTCGGCGTTCACACTGAGAGTGTCTCTGGTGCTTCATTGCTCGCTCATCAATCTAGGACCCGAGGGTGAGCCGGTGCACCCTCGCCCTCTCCTCGTGCGACAAGGCAGCGAACTGCGCTGTCAGCAAAACGATCATCACAGCCACCAGCACCTGGGCACTTGCAACTTGCTGCAGGGTTGAGCTGACAGTGTGCAAATAAGGAAAGCAAGGGTTACGTCTCCGGTGGCTGCCGTGCCTCTGCCAATGTCCAGGATCGTTTCCCACGGTACCATGTGATGGCGAAGAGGACCTCTGCAACATCGGAACAGTCCAACTGACGCACAAGAAGTGGCATAACAAACGAAACAAGGCAACCAGGAATCGTTGTCTGAGGTTTAAGAAGCATAACAATCCGAAATGAACACGAAGAGCAACAACAGCGGCAACACTGTGCATCAAGCGATGAGCCAGGCACCACCATAGTAAAGCATTTCACGACATACTTGTGGACCGAAGACAACCGTTTCACCTGCGAAGCTGCCAAGGTGTCTCAACTCTTGCAGTTCTCTACGCAGGCTGAGCTTCGAGATCAAGGTTTGCGTTGGCCAACTGCGATACGCCCAGCTTGAATGACCGATGGTTATGAAGCTCCCATCATGCTATCATGCGGCCGACCCTCCTAGCCGGTTGGCTTGCTGGTCGCAATGCAGCAGGTAACCACTGCAGAGAAGTCTTCTCATGTCTTAGAGAAGATCAGAAAGCTTGATGCAGTTTGATAAACTTGCCGGCGCACCATTAAAGCAGTGATCCAGGTGTCGAGGACATGACTTCCTACCACCAATACGATCGTCTGGTCCTCGAGTGCCATGTGCGACCGTGGCAATTCTGCAAAGCGTAATAACAATCACTTCAAGCCAAATGTAGAGCATGCACTTGAGGCGCAGGCCCATCCACTGAAGATGTTCCAAGAGAAGGAGGACTCATTTTGGAGTCTCTGCAGAAGGTTGTACACAAAGAGGAACACGAGGGTGCAAATGATTTCTCCGATCCTGGCACCAGAAGTCAGACACTCAGAGTCTGTCGTGTCCAACAAACTTATGATCTGTCTGGCGTAAGATTGTGCATTTGCTTGCGCCTGTCCGTGCGCGTGCACGCGCAAGCTTGCAAGTGTGCGCATGGGTGCGACTGCGTCCATGCCCGTGCCTGCAAGCGTGCGTGCGGGCGGGCGGGCGTGAGGGCGGGCAGGGTGCAGTACTTACTCCCGTCACACCAGGGACTCCAATCACGTTTGAGCACCTGCCCATCAGACCCATCATCGCCAACGATTTTCAAGAGGTCAATGTGTGGTCGTGTCAACTTCGGCTACAGCATCAAAACAGATCAGTTGACAAGGATTTCAAAGAGTGCAAACAGGGCGGTGGTGTCCCTGAACGTCTACTTGCTGAGGAACATAGTCGCATGTAGTGGCACTTGCGAGCTACCGATCCATACTTCCTACAACTACGTTCATTCGGTCTTGGAGACAATCATCAACTGCTGTCAGCTTTCCCTGATGGCAACTGCAATGCATATATACCAGCGGTAGGAAGTTTGTCATCCTCGACTCGACGCAGGGCAAACACCATCGCATGCTAATGCACCAGTACGTTGCGAAATCTACAAGCTGCCGTGTACAATCATTCCAGAGAACAACAATCGTACACAAGCTGATTTAAAAGCGTTTCTTCGTAACAAAGGAATAAGTCAAGGAAGTTGTTCGAGTTGCCTCTACATGACTACAACCAACTTTGCGTTCGCGACATCTTCCCAACAGCAATCTCCGGAAAGCCTACGAGCATTGCACATAGATGGACACTCATCCCCAACCTAGCCGCTGCGCGCCCCGTGACAAAAAACCTTGCTGCTTTTCAGTTTGCGATGGAGCCCTCGACTCGCATACAAAACCCATCAGTCAGTGTGTGTGGGCACAAACCCTGTTGGTCCACGCGTTTCAGTGAAATTGCATCTGCATGTGATTGAAACTGTAGAAGCTTGCAGGGGGCTGCTCCACCCACATGAGGGGGCAGCCAACGAAGAGCCTGTCAGTGTGGTGCTGTAAACGTACCTGTATCTTCATACTGTCATATGGATGCTCCTGGGCTCGGTGTGGTGGGGGTTGGCATTGGGATTGCCTCGGCTCGGCATAGCAGCTGGCAATCATCAAAATGTGAGTGCTATCCGTGTGTGTTCCCCAACAAGGGTGATTCCGAAGTGTGTTTCGGCAATGCTTCCGTATTCGGTCATTGTCGGGAGCCCTTGGAGGGCGCCAGGTGTGATGTCCACCACCAAAGTATGCAGTGATGTGGAGACGCTTACAATGTGGGGACGTTGAAGTTGTGACCTCGACCGACATGCTTGTGAAGTAAACTGCGAGTTCTCGCCTTGAGCAACCAGTGCTTGCCGTGAGGAACCAGTTGATGGCTCTGGATAAAAAAACATGGGTGGTACAGTCAAACGATGACAACAGATATGTTTGAAGGGAACGTGTCAGTATCTTTGCATGTTGAACATCTTGCATGCTTCGCATGTCCATGCCAGGAGTAGTCGCGATGTGAACGCTTGCTTTGCTGTGTAGCTTGCCACCTTGTCAGTTGAAATCTCGGTATGCATGGGGTATCAAAGAGAGGTACTCGCTGCCCAAGGCCAAAGAGGTTTGTGACAGACAAAAAAGATTTCAAGCAGGCTCGCTCAATCATCAACTTTCGCGGGTCGTGTTTGAGTCGGTTGTGCAAGATTGTGGCATGTGTGCTGAATGAAGTCTGTCATGTTGCTTTCCCTGCGAACGTTGGCCAACTGAAGTTGCACGAGTTGTGGTTTTCGCTTCATGGCTTTCTCGACCGCTTGTCACCTCGCTGGGGCTTTTTACTTCTATCCCAGTTTCACGCTGAAAGCATGCCTGCGAACTCGCGTTGGACAGGTTTTGTGACAACAAGCAGTCAGGCAGGAAAAACCAAGGAGAATTTTGGTTCACGGTCGACGAACAGTCAGCCTCTTCATATGGACGTGTCCACGTGCCTATAAAACGAAACGAGCATCGTGCTCGTCGAAAAGTCTTTGCGCGTGATGTGTTGAAGATCATCGAGCTCTGTTTTCACTCGCATCTTTCAGTGCAGGGCCGATGCTTTGCCCAGAGAAGGGGCAGCCCCATAGGCAATCCGTTGTCACCAAGTTTGTGCAGCATCGCGGTTTGCATGGAGGAAGATTGCTGGGTCCGTGGATTCAGATCGCTTGGCTTGCTGGTTTCTCAGGTATGTCGATAATCGCTTCCTGCGTTTTTCCTCGACTGCGCTTACAACGCGAAGCTTTTCAAACGTTGGTGATGCCTACCTGCTATGGGCCTCCGGTAATGCTGGGAGCATGTGACGTGGAGGAGCTGTTGGGCTGTCGCGTGTCAGTGCATGATCGTCGTGTAACCTGTAACCTTTGACCTTCCTGAAGAAAACTGGCGGTAGGGTTCCGCAAGCCCGGGGTCTGCAAATGCAACTCTTGCTTCATTTCGTGCAAGGGTAATAATCGCGGCGACGCGCAAATTCGCGCACTTCCCCACAAATGTTTGGAACTGGCTTTGCACCGTCACGACTTGCACCGGGCTCTACCAGCAAAAGCCAAGCGAATTCGTGTGCGCATATCAAAGCAGCAGGCTTGGGAGTCTCTATCAGCAGTGTCGTGGAGCAGAAGTCGGTAAAACCATGCGCCGCACATTATGTGTGCGGTGCAGTTCGTTCAAAAAATGTTCGTGTTGAGTGCCATCCTGGTCCTGGAAGAGCCGGGTGGTGGGTGGGTGGGTGGGTGGGTCTGTGGGTCTGTGGGTGGGTGGGTGGGTCTGTGGGTGGGTGGGTGGGTCTGTGGGTGGGTGGGTGGGTCTGTGGGTGGGTGGGTGGGTCTGTGGGTGGGTGGGTGGGTGGGTGTGTGTGTGTGTGTGTGTGTGTGTGTTGGTCCACGGGTTTCAGTGAAATTGCATCTGCATGTGATTGAAATTGTAGAAGATTGCGGGGGGCTGCTCCACCCACTGTCAGGGGGCAGCCGACGAAGAGCCTGTCGGTGTGGAGCTGTAAACGTATCTTTATCTTCATCTGCATACTGTCATGTGGATGCTCCTGGGCTCGGTGTGGCAGCTGGGGGTTGCCATTGGGATTGCCTGGGCTCGCCACCGGGCTAAGCCGAGGACCTGGAAACATTCGGTATTGAGCCGACACAAGTGTTCTGACGAGTCCTAAGGTGCTCCGATGAGTACTGAGGTGTTGACATCATGGAACTCGTGGCGAAAGCCTCCTCATTGTACAACCACCGTTATCTGTGTCTGCCATCTGTCCGTCCGTCCGTCTGTGTCACCCGTGTAACAAAGGGCTAGGGTAACCAGTTGTGTGCTTGTAATCAGTTTTTGACATGTCAGCAGGGGACATGGCGGTCTTGTTCTTAGCCATGCCAACCAAGCTGGGGAACATGACTGGAAGGGAAGCTGGGACG